TGGGCGGCAAGCCACTCCCACAAAGGAGGCCACACCCACAGAGTAGGTTCGAACAATTTTTGAAACCCACCACTGACATACACATACATACACTATTTATTTATTTACTTAAGTATTTGGGAATTTAAAAGATCCGTGGTGGTGCAAACAGAATGCAACACTCCAGGTTACTTCTGCAGATTGCCGGCTGCCGGCAGTTTGATTCTCACCGCTCAAAGTTGGCTCAGCCTTCCATCCTTCCAAGATCAGTAAAAAACAACCCAGATTGTAAACAGCTTAGAGAGGATGTAAAGCACTGTGAAGTGGTATTTAATTTAATTTAATTATCAAAATTTATATGCCGCCCAAAATTTATATGCCGCCCAATCCCGAAGGACTCCGGGCGGTATGTAAGTCTAAGTGCTATTGCTATTTATGTATGGTATGAACATACATGGACTTACAACATGGATTAACATTTCACCTAGATTAAAAACACAGTGAAATATAAATTTTAAAAAGAACTATATTTGGATGCCAATATGCAGGCCATCTAACCATTGAAGCGCAGCATCATTTATCTGGAAAAAAGATACTGGACCAATTTATAGCCTCTGCTTACAGCAGGTCACAATGTGATCTACAGTTTGATATGAGATCCCAGTTACACTGAAGGGAGGATGCTATGTTCCATTTATACAGTGAATCCCGAGAGATGCCAGAAGAGCTGCAAACCCTATTCAGGTTACATATACATATGTAGATAGTTAGAAAGCTCCAATATACATCTGCAATGCACATACAGATACATTACTCCAATGTTCTACATAGCGTAAATTATATTCTGACAATGTAGCTAAATTCACTGGATTTCTTGATGGACTAACATGGAGAATGGAATATGTTGCCACCTTTCCCCAGCATGTTTTGCAATAGAAGTAGTGCTTTATAGCCCTTTCTAAACCGTTTACGGGGTCAGCATATTGTCTTCCTTTTACTGACCTCAGAGGGATGGAAGGCTGAGTCAACCTTGAGCCGGTCAGAATTGAACTCCTGGCAGTTGAACGCAGAGTTAGCCTAATAATGAATGCAAATATTGCATTTTAACCACTGTGCCGCCATGTTTGCAGTCGACGTGCTCTATGGACGCTTAGCTTGTTCAGATTCCTCCCATTTCCTCTTGGGTACAAGGCTAGTTCTCTTTGACATCAGAGAGGTTCAAAGGATCTGCTGGATCCAATGTTTTCCCACTCCTAATCTCAAAGATATTAATTTATATGCATTCTAGATCTGCCATGAAGACATTTGTTCCGGAAAGGTTGATGGATGGATGGATGGATGGATGGATGGATGGATGGATGGATGGATGGATGGTTGGTTGGATGGATGGTTGGTTGGTTGGTTGGTTGGTTGGTTGGTTGGAAGAAAGGAAGGAAGGTATGGAGGGAGGGAGAGAAGGAGGATTCTTCTCTTTTAATGGCAGTGTTATACTATCCAGCTTTTATATATGTTGGAATATCCAGCACTTAGTCCTCTAAACTGAATGATAGGATTGCTGTGTCTGGCTACCAAGCATGTTGATTAAAAAAAACTGATAAAATATGTGATAAAACATTTTATTATTAATACTAGTAGTGGCTCTGTGGTACCCTAAATTGTCTGGCAACAGCAACTAAATCAATATAGTGCTATTATTTTCCTGATTTTGTTTAATTAGTAGGACATAGATTGACCAACAATGCATGTCTTGTCTACTTATATACATTGTTAAATATTGTAGCATACCATCTAAAGAGTATCACAGGAATAAACATAATTAAATAGAAACAAACCTCATTAAAATGCGTCCAGCGCTTCTCCCTGTCTATTAATCTTCTAGGAATTATAATCTCATATGTGGAATGCCTAGAGATCTGTTGAATATGTCCGCCTACAAATAATGTTTTTAAAAGTTAGTGTAGAGAGATTTTCCAATAACTTCTTCGTTTTATTACAATGATAAAAGAATGCAGAATTTTACTTTACAGTGTATTTATAACAACTAAGAGAATCCTCAAATCAGAAGCAGCGTTTTCTCAGACTAACAAATTTTATTAAAAGGCATATCAGATGTGGAAAGTGGCTAAACTGACGTTGAAATTGGAAAGAGGCAGTCAATTTGCAGTATGGGGGAGACAATTCTTGCTTAAACAGCAAAGCATCTAGATCTGGGCCTAAAAAGTCAACTCCATCTTCTACACTTCCATTTATTTTACCTCTATACTTTGTGCACAAGCATGAAAAGTTCAAAGAAAGGAGTAGGGGAGAAGTAAGAAGGAAGGAAGAAGGGGAAGGAGAGGAGGAAGGAAGGAAGTAGAGAAGGAAGGGAGGGAGAAAAGAAAAGAAAGAGAAAATAAGGTGGTGTCATAACAGGTGTGAAGGATGGTAAATAATCCATTCCAAATTATACCTTATACCCTTTTAAATGGAATAATAATAATATAAGAATGGCAAAGAAAAAGAATAACTATGTGAATGTATACCTATAACTGCATGTAAGAGAATAGATGACAGTAAAAATATAAAGCACAATATAGGTAAATAATACTTGATCATAAGTAGCTAAGTATAAATAAATAAAGAAATGTATATAAAAATGGATAATGAGTAACGAGATTACAAACGCAAGACAGAAATGTATAGAAAGGAAGACACTAACTGCAAAGAAACTTATTGTTCCCATGTTGTTTTTAAGTCATGTGGTTATTTTTGTTAATGTGTTTATGTGTTCTGCTGATGTGCTTATGTGTATAAAATAAAATAAAATATTTTTTTTAAAAAAGAAAAGTTCAAAGAAACCAATTCAACAAAACCAGGGACAGTTTCTTGGACAGCTAAGAGTTGCGGACAACTTGACAAGGAGAGAGGGGGAAAAAATGGGCATAAAGTGAGCAAATGAATAATCCAGTTTAAGAAAAACCTGCGTGTAATTCAATCTCTCTTTCTTCTCTTTCTTTTCAAAACACCGAGTCCAGTATTTCATTTTGACAAATAGCCTTTTCTCAGGGGCACCCCTACTCAACTTTTTCTGCCAGGCTCAGCATCATTCCCCGGGGACAGCAATGGGTGTTTTAAAGAGGCTCTCTCCCTCCCTTAACCCCTTATTAAACCTTTTCCCCTCCACCTAGGTCTAGAATGGCCATGTCGGGTTCTGAAAGTTCATGGGAAACGGAACTGTGCTTCAACAGCTTGCCCTTCAACAAACCGTGTCAACCGCCAGTCAACTCTTTTCACCGAAAACGCCTTTGCCGGGAAGCGGAGCTAAGCATTTCCTTCCATATAAGGAACCTCCGGATCGTTTCCCAAGAACTCAAGCTGCCTCTCTCTCTCTCCGCTGCTCTTTGCTTTTAAAGCCAAACCAAGACCATTACTTGCCCAGGGCGACGACTTGGTTTCCCACGGCGCTCAGTCCCAAGGCGAGGAAGTTCAGGTAACAGGCTGCTAACATGATCCGCTCTGCCAGCTGCGACGACCGAGGTGGGGACTGCCCTTGGAGGAGTTCACGCGAACTGCTGATCAACAACCGCGCTTGAAACCTTAAGCGCCCAGCGGGAGGAGTTGACAAACCCCTCCCCGCTGATTGTGTGAGCGCCGGTCCTGGGATAGAGGAACTCGTTCCGCAGCATTTGAAGCCTTTGACCACGTGCGCCCTCGGTGATCCCCAACAGCCAGCTGTTGTTAGGAAGCAAAAAGAGGTGGTGGTGGGGGGGGGGAGTTTTCTCAGAAAGGGAAGTTAATGACAAGTGATTGATTGATATTTTTATTTTGGATGATCTCAAGCCGGGATGCTTCTGAGGAAGGGTATTGACTCTGCACAGATCCTGGGTCATCCAGTTCATGGTTGGGTGAGAAGCGAAAGTTCTTCAAAGAAAAAANCCTCGGAAGGATGGAAGGCTGAGTCAACCTTGAGCCAGTGAGATTTGAACCGCTGAACTGCAGATAACAGTCAGCTGAAGTGGCCTGCAGTGCTGATACCATGTTTTGCATAAAATTCAGCCAAGACAATCATAATGTTTTAATTGGCTCAAACAGTGAGAAGCTACACTTCAGCAAGATTTGTTAGAAGTCTAGATCTAATCCTGCACTCCTTTTTGGAATGAATCCACTCCTCTTTGAGCCACAAATGCCTTAGAATGGCAGTCTTTTTAAGTTTTCAAAAAACATTTCTATTAGCAGATAAAGTTATTGGCAAAAAGGTCAACTTAGATAACAAATTACTCAACTCTCATTTGGCACCATTTGCAATGAATTGATCCAGGGCTCAAAGGAAGTGAATTGTACAGTATTTTTTAAATTCATGATGTCTATCCCTCCTATGCCCAATAGGAAGAAAATTCTGGGGATGCTATTTTCTGTGGAAGTCCTAGAACATCAGTCAGTAATATTTGCAACTCAAATTCAGAGGCAAGTTCAGACTGAGTCATAAAGTTTCTTATAAAATCGTTGGTTAGTTGTATGATAAAAATGTTGCTAGTAAAAGAATATAGTTCCTTAAGATATGTTGTTTAACTTCCCAGACTATTAATCATCATGGCAAAGGAGGAAGTACAGTGTATTCCAAGACCCAAATATGACAAAATAGGCTTGGCACAGAAATGTGGTTTTCTGGAGTGGAATATTAACTTTTTCTCATGTTTCACACATGCTAGAACACAAATCACATCACATCCAGCTAATAGGGCCATTGGAAAAGATTTTGTACAACTCAAAGCCTTATTTATTCATTTATTTTTTTACCTTTCCTTCAGGAATTCAAGAAGGTATGTCTGGCACTGTTCCTGCACTTCATTTATCAAAACAGATGGCTCAACGGTTAAAAATGCTGACCTTTACCCGAGGGCTACAGTACGTGACAGGGTGTGTTCTTGTTACTTGCTCCAGTTCCTGCCAACCTAGCAGTTTGAAAGCATGTAAATGCAAGTAGATACATAGGTAGTACTTCAGTGGGACGGTAACAGTGTTCTGTGCGCCTAGGCGTACAGTATATTCATGATGGTCACATGACTACAAGAGTGTCTTTCAACAATGCTGGCTCCCTCGGCTAAGAAATGGAGATGAGCATTGCCCCTTAGAGTCGGACGCAAGAAGACAGGGAAAACCTTCACCTTTACCTTCAATAATAAAAAAACTAGAATAGAAAGTTGGCTTCTTCACAGGTACAACATACCTGAGTTTCCACAGGAGTACTCTCCAGCTTTCCCTCTTGGTTATAAGTATATATTGTAAACTTTTCCCCAAGAAGGTTTCTGCAACAAATTTCATTTCAACAGTATTTTAAGATGCAGGCTATTCATCAATGAATGATAACACTAAAACACTTTAATACACTGGTCAAAGTTCATAATAAAATTTACCCACATACTAATATTTTAATGAAATATAAGCTGAATTTATTTAAAAAAAAATTAAGTCAGCATTCAAGCCATTTTAAATACAGAAATCTAATCATTTTAAGCAATTCTAGTGCCACATCCTGTTAATCCAGTGTATTAAAGTGTTTT